ATTATCTTTTATAAACATACCGTGACTCTAAAATAAAAGTTATTCATTTGTGACATTGACTTCTGTCTTGTGATTTATCTGAAGTTTTTAACCTGTCAGTTTTTTTTAAATTGTAATGTTAAAAATCGTTGTAAAAACTTGACAGGTTAAAAACTTAAGATAAATCACAAGACAGAAGTCAATGTCACAAATGAATAACTTTTATTTTAGAGTCACGGTATGTTTATACAAGATAATACTATTAATATAATGTGACTTTTCTAGAGAATCATTATACAGAGTTATTTTATACAGGGTTTCCACAGTAATTTCAGAATTCCCGGACTTTTAACTGACTTGGGATTAGTTTTCCCTGACATAATAAATGCAGCCGTTTGTCGTTTTGGTAACTATATCAAAATTACCGCTAGGTGGACAAAAATCAAGCGGCTTTTTCAAATCACGCGAGAATGTGTACAAAACAGCAAAAATGGCACCGGCGACGCTTCTGCGTCGTTTTCATCGAATGTCGGTGATTATAAAGTAATTTTGAGTGATAAAAATTTTTTTTTTGCAATCATTGCTTTTGCCCGGCGGGCAAATGCAATGATTATTTCTGGAGGTTTTTCTTTCTTTAATAGAGAAAGAAATCACAAAAAACTGTTTTAGAAAGTGAAAAAAGTAGCATAAATTGTTCTTTCATAAAATCCCATTTGGTTTCCATACTCTCTGGCAGAGAATTCAGACACTTTTTTTTTTTTTTTATGAGAAGAGCTGCAGATTTTACATGACAATGGTGCAGCATGGACATCAGGGGAGTTCAGGGGGTTAAAGTCAGCCACACAGCTCTGCAGGCTAAACACAGCTTCAGCAGCTGACAGAAAGACAAGGCTTTGGTCTGAATGTCAGGACTGAATTAGCACAGACACGATGGCATCCTAACAAACAAACCTCTCCAAACAGACATCCATTCTTCTTTTTGGTCTTTCAATCTGGCTTCCAAAGTGATGGATGCATTTCAGTCAGGAAACTGTGGGGAGAGGAGCTGAATTTCTTACTTAAAAAAACAAAAACAAACAAATCATTGTTCGAAATAGATCCATGTCCCAGAAAGCTTGTGGTCATACATTATGAAATGATAGAATCAAAGTTTGAGTGATTGCTCTGATTAAAGAGCATGTTTTAGACAAACTGAGTCAAAATCAGAAACGCTGTTTCAAAACTTGCAGATTAACTTATAATCATTGATATGATCAGCTTTGTAAAAACGAGTCTTGGTAGTAATAACAGCATAGACCTCAGAGAAGCATCTATTGCTGCCCATCAATGACTGAAAATTTCAAGTAAGAGAGATTATTCCTGCAGTGCAATGATCAGGTACATCGCCAATAAGTCTAAAGGGTCATATGTGACTCAACAGGATTAGCATGTTAGTAAGTAAGGTTTACTTATATATATATATATATATATATATATATATATATATATATATATATATATATATATATATATATATATATATCACAAGGTGCTATAAAATATGAGGCATAAAATACATAACAGCACCATATAAAATACACATATACAAAATAAATAACATCATAGCAGTCCTTGAGAAAATGAAACAAAAATTTATCCTTTTAAAGCTTTAGACTCTTTTTCCAGGTGTATCATCAAAATAAGTGGTCCTCCTAATTATCAATCATTCTGGTGACATGTTTACGTAAAGCCGTCCTACGTGCTCATCCCCGTTTTCACTTCTGACATGGTTGAAAAATTGCAAATCTTCTTTTGGAAAGTAAGCTTGTATGAGCAATTTAAACAGTAACTTCTAAACAGGGCATGCACGAGGAGAAATGGGCTCGTGCACGCCCTGTTTAAACTCTCGAGAGCAGGTAGAGGGTTGTAAATGTGAACTTTTTTGAAGTCGAGAGGGCGGGTCTTTTTTGATTTTGAGAAAATCCTCCACTATACCTTTAATATCAAGGTTTACATGTGAGTAAAGTAGACTTCTGATTACAACAGTGTCAGTGCCAGCCTAGTGGTTAGGGCATAGGGCTTTGAATCCTGAGGTTGAGTTTGAACAACTATATATAACTATCAATAATATACATATTAGTTAGTTTTCATAACTATAATATGAAAAAATAAAGATATGAAAACTGATTACAGTTGGTATATACACCTTTCCCAGCAGATGTTATGCTTTGTTACCATTTATAATTACAGAAATGCATCCACTTACAGATTAATTGTTTTCAAATCAATAAATATATATAATATATTTTGTAGCATATATATATGCATATATATATATAGTTTTAGCAAAGATACTGTGTGGATCCCCAAGTTTTTTCTTGTTTTATATATATAGGCTATATATAATAGAGGTTGGGCCCTTATTAGCTCCAAATACTAATTTTACCTTGACCAGACAAGCAGTTAACAGCTTCAACAGAACAATTGTTGACCAATCGTTGTACAAAACTCTTGGGGCAAAAGTTAGTCTACATATTAGGGGATATGTCAACAAACTGCATTGAATTGAATTGCAGATCCTGAAATGTAAAGAAAGATTTTAAAAACTCTAATTTTTGGATAATTCACAAGATGACAATTGAAAAAAAGGCTAAAAATGTGGCCTG